TCTCTGCATCCTTGCCAACATCTGTTGTTGCCTGAATTATTAATTTTAGCCATTCTGACAGAAGTGAGGTGGTATCTCATTGTGGTTTTGATTTGTATTTTCCTTATAATGAGTGATGTTCAGCATTTTTTCATGTGTCAGCCATCTGGATGTCTTCTTTGGAAAAATGTCTATTCATTTCTTTTGCCCATTTCTTCACTGGATTATTTGTTTCTGGGGTGGTCAGTTTGATAAGTTCTTTAGAGATTTGGGATATTAGCCCTTTATCCAATATGTCATTTGCAAATATCTTCTCCCATTCCATAGGTTGCCTTTTAGTTTTGCTGGATTTCTTCCTTCACCGTGCAAAAGTCCCAATAGTTGATTTTTGCTTTAGTTTCCCTTGCCTTGGGAGACATATCAAATAAGAAGTTACTGCAGCTGAGGTCAAAGAGGTCTTTGCCTCCTTTTTCCTCTAGGATTTTGATGGTTTCCTCTTTTACATTTAGATCTTTCATCCATTTTTAGTTTTATCCAGTTTGAGTGTATGGTGTAAGAAAATGGTCCAGTCTCATTCTTCTGCATGTTGCTGTGCAGTTTGCATTTGCAGTTGCAGTTGCATTTGCATTTGCATTTGCTAAAGAGACCGTCTTTTTTCCATTGAATACTTTCCTGCTTTGTCAGAGATTAGTTGGCCATGCATTTTTGGGTTCATTTCTGGGTTCTATATTCTATTCCATTGATATATATGTGTCTGTTTTTGTGCCAGTACCATATTGTTTTGATGATTACAGCTTTGTAATACAGCTTGAAGTCTGGAATTATGATGCCTCCAGCTTTGGTTTTCTTTTTCAAGATTGCTTTGCCTATTCAGGGTCTTTTGTGGTTCCATACAAACTTTAGGATTGTTTATTCTAGCTCTGTGAAGAATGCTGATGTTATTTTGATAGGGATTGCATTGAATATGTAGATTGCTTTGGGTTGTATCAACATTTTTACAATACCTTCTCTTCTACAACATGAGCATGGAATTCCATTTTTTGTGTGTCTTCTTCAATTTCTTTTATAAACGTTTTATAGTTTTCAGTGTATAGATTTTTAACCTCTTTGGTAAGGTTTATTTATTCCTAGTATTTTATGGTTTTTGGTGCAATTGTAAATGGGATCAATTCCTTGATTTGTCTTTCTGCTGTTTCATTATTGGTATACAGAAATACAACCAATTTCTGTACATTGATGTTATCTCCTGTGACTTTGCTGAATTCATGGATCAGTTTTAGCAGTTTTTTGGTGGAATCTTTTGGGTTTTCCACATAAAGTATCATGTTGTCTAAGAGTGAAAATTTGATTTCTTCCTTGCCAATTTTATTTCTTTGTATTGTCAGACTGCTGAGGCTAGGACTTCCAACACTATGTTGAGTAACAGTGGTGAGAGTGGACATCCTTGTCGTGTTTGTGACCTAAGGGAGAAAGCTTTCAGTTTTTCCCCATTGAGGATGATATTAGTGTTGGGTCTTTCGTATATGGCTTTTATGATCTTGAGATATGATCTTTCTAGCCCTATTTTCTTGAGGGTTTTTAATCAAGAAAGGATACTGTATTTTGTCAAATGCTTTCTCTGCATCTATCGAGAGGATCATGTGGTTCTTATTCTTTCTTATATTGATGTGATGTATCTCATTGATTGATTTGCAGATATTGAACCAACTCTGCATCCCAGGAATAAATCCCACTTGATTATGGTGAATAATTCTTTTAATGTATTGTTGAATCTATTTGGCTAGTTTCTTGTTGAGAATTTTTGCATCCATGTTCATCAGGGAAACTGGTCTGTAGTTCTCCTTTTTAGTGGGGTCTTTGTCTGGCTTTGGAATCAAGGTAATGCTGAGGGCTAGCTACTCCTAACTTTTATAGCTCATGTACATAAATATCTAGAAGTTATAAACGAAGCTAATGGATGGTTAATAAATTTGTTGTATTCTCCAGTCTTTGTGAGCTGAATCCATAATGACTTAGAAGGCCAGGTTTGAAGTGTAGAATTGTCAGATTCTTCAGAGATACTTGCCAGAATATGTTGACCCCCTGCCAATCTCCAGTCTCCCTGCTCTTTACATCCTAGCTCCTTCCTGCAGCACACCAAGAGGGTTTGTAGATACATATAAGCAGATGCCCCAGCCTCATGCACAAGCTTAGTCACATCCCCCACCCCTACCTCCTGGCAAACAGGTGTCTCTGCCCCAACCCTTGGGTCTCAGTGTGCATAAACTGGCCATGTGTTTCTTTTTGAGGGGTTTAAACTCAGGGAAAAGGCCCACAAAGTCCCTAAAAGTTAGCTTGGGTGCAGTCTATAAGAAGGCAGGTGTGGTAAGAGTACTAAGTAGACACATCCCCTTGGCTTCATGGCCCTCCTGCCCTGTGGAGGAAAATAATGGTGAAAGAAGGCCAGAGTGAAGCTGTTGAAAGCATAGAGTTCCCTCTTGCCCAGATGCAATGCTAGTATTAAGTGGTAGAACTGCCCTGTGTTCCCACAAAGAACATCTTTAAAAGTAGTAGGTAAATAGCCAAGCTATGGCCTTAGAGGTCCACACTTATGGTCCACACTTGTCCAGGAAGTTCAGAGTCTTTGAATGGACCATAGTGCGTTGGATACAGACATTCCACCAGTGTGAAATGAAATGGAGAGACTTTCCTTCTCTCCATTTTCTAGGCACAGAAAATATTCCAGCTGACCCAGGGCCTGAGGCAGGACCCTCAAACAGGACAGAGAGAACTTCTCAATATCATTATCTAGTGGAGAGCTCATATTTTAATTTGACTTAGAAAAATAAAGTGGCATAGCCTATACTTCATCCTAGTATGATACATACATGGATAATAACAAATACATAAACCACATTATCCAACTTCTGAATCCTTATAAGGCTTTCTTACACCTGCTGTCTTCCCTGCTTATTTTTTCTCCTTTGTTTACTAGTCTTCCACGTTATAAACTCCTTGAAGGCATGAAGTGGATTATTCATCATTGGGTTCTAACTGAATCCATCACAGTGCCATGTACACATCAGACATTCAATAATTCATTTGTTGAGCTGAATAGAAGGTTTCAGAATGATTAAAAATGAGTGACTAAGGACATATTGCCTTGTTCTAATGTTTCTTGAAATTAATGGGTTTTTCTCCTATTTCTGTATTAATTTAGATGAAACATTCATTAAGCTTCCCTCTAAAGTAAGTAAATATATGTGATCCTTTAAAACATTTAATAAACGTTTAGCTTCCAAAAAGGATTCTTGGTAAATTCCTGTGATATATAATTTTTCTTTAATAAAGTGAAATTCAAGCAAAATTAGAACAAAGTTATAGGAAAGGTTATAGCAATGACAGCTTCTGACATTTTTTGCTCTTTTGTCATTTCAAAATACACTTTTTCTTCCTTTTTAGAACTTTGTGGTAAATGAATACCATTAATAAGAGAAGAGGTCATATGTAGAAAAATAACTTTATCTAGTACAAAATATATTTGAGAGCATAAGCCATGACTGGGGAACCAATATTCTGCAAGGATACTTTATAATCACTTTAAGGTAATGTGTATATACAAAGCCTAACAAACTTGACCCTGACTTGGCAAAATCAGTCAACGAGTGAATTAGGCAACCGGCTCAGTTGCTATCCTGGAGTTCAGACCAAGCAGCTGGACTGCAGAGGCCACACCAATTAATTTTGCCAGTCGGTTGTTTATTGGGTTTGCACAGAGGGATATGATTTTCTTGACGTTATAAAGATGCCAGAATTCTTTTACATAAAATATCTTAGTCAATAATGTGTAAGTATATTTTCTGATTGAAACAGGTATTTACATAGGGGTTGCACACATTACTGCTTCACAATGATTAAGAATATGGGATAGTAGCCAATATTCTTCACAACCAATAAGGTAGGATCATCAACCCATCAGAACAGAAGAGGCAGCCGTTGTAGTTTGGACAAAAACCCAAGTTTTCCCTTGCTATTCCCAAATGTACTGCAGCTACCTGGATCCTCCACTCCTCCTTCCCTTGATGAGACCCACATCAGGAGTGTGATCTCCCCTACAAACTCCCAGTTCTAATCTGGAAAGGAAGCCCAGCAGATATTTTAAAATGTTGTCCTAGGTTGCTGGGGGCCCACCTACAGGTCACAATGTATTTAGCTCCTAGGACAAAAGACCGAAAAGAAGAAATGGGGGGAGGCCAGGGAGTAAACAGTAATGGTGAGGTGACTTACTTACCCTTCACTCCCTTAACTGAAACTTTCTCTAGAACATCAGGAAGAGTGAAAGGAAGCACTGAAAAGATGATGCACTCTTGCAAGTGTTTCTCAACTTCTAGATTTTGATGGTCTCCGTCAGTTTGAATGGATGCCATCAGCAAACTCTAAATCTGTAACTGCTCTGTTGTCTGCAGTAGCTCTCTGTCACTAGGACTAGCTGTTTTGGCAGGAGCTCTGGTACATTTGGCCTGGAGGCCGTGCCAGAGACAAATAAAGGTCAGGCCTGAGTTTCATGGCACCCATCTCCCAGCCTTTTGTCCTCAGTTCTGTCTGTGCACACAACCCCAAACACATAAATGAATATTGTGTGATCTCATCACAAGTGCTTCAAACTTATTGTACCATCTACTGAATACAATTTCCCTTCCATTGAGAAAACTATGTCTGAGTTTATGAAGTCTTTTGGGAATTCAAATGGGAAAAAGGGTTAAGCACCACTGGTGTTAAGCAGGATTGTGTGAAGTAAACAACCCTGCTTTGCTTAGAAAAATCTATTAGATCAAGAGAAGAGTGACTTTTCAAGAGAAAGATGGATTTTCAAGATATGAGTGTGGTATACAGTACTATGTCTTTTTATTCTGGAAAAAAGAAAGCATTACAGCCTACTATTTTAAACTGCAACAATGGCTTTTGCTAATTCTCCAGCTTGCTTTTTTTATAAAGTACGGTGACCAAGCACAGACAATCATGAGCAAAATGCTGACTTCAAATAAAATTTTGTATGCCATTTTTAATTAAGCAATCCGTGCAGACACGTTTTTTTTTTTCTTCAACATCAGGAGGAAAGAAAACAACCACACTTGGGTACTGGTGGAAAAACAGAAAATGCTTTCTCATTGCAACCAGATTTCAAAGCATGGAGTGTAGGGAGGCAGGGCCCAGGGCCTTAGTATTCCTCAGGGTTGCTTGATTGCAAGTCTCGCAAATATGAATCAATTATGTTAGGAGGTACGCCTTGCAAGAGGAGCCTGCAGAAGGAAAGGCCACCTAAAGAGGACAAAAAAAGGAAAAGGCCAAGTCAAAACCGTCTACATGAAAAATTACTGAAATACTACTTCCTGACTAGCTGCCTAGAAATGTAACTAATTATGTTCCAGTTACAAAGATTCATTCAGTCCTACTTGGAAATCTTCTGCCTTTAGTACACTTAGAATTTAAAGCAATTGGCATCTCGAGGGAAAAGCAAGTTCCCCGCAGGTCCATAGCAGTTTCTTGTTCCCTGCTATTATTTGATCTTAGTTTAAATTCCTAACTGGTTTTGGAAAGGATCTATTGCTCTTTTGGGTTTGGGGATTCTTCAATGATTTAAGACTTCTGGCTGAATGGCAGAGTAGATGCAGACCATGTTATGAATCAGTGGGAAGAACTGTTTCCTGTTCATTAATGTTCCTTTTAATTTAGCACAAAGAATTCCAACTCAAGCACTTTGGAGAAGAAAAAAGGGACCATTCCTTTAACTTTGGCTATTTATACACTGTCAAAAGTGCAAAAATTGGAAAGATCTTGTTAAAAATAGTAAAACCCCGTCCAATGCCTTCTGATGGTGAAACATCTACTACTATTTCAAACTTACCTTCCATGTGTCTGAATTATATTTACAAAATAAAAGTACCCCTCACGAGAGAACCCATGAAACTATAAAAATTCATGGTCCTTTAAGGAAGTGCTTCATTACTTGCTAATAAACTCACGTCCAGGCAAAAACAGCATGCCATTTGAACATTCTTAAAACTTCTTTAATGCAAATTTGGGAAAGTCATTCTCCTTTTTTTAAAAAAAAAATTCAAGTCACATATTGGTAGAAATGATGCCATTTATATACATGTCCATTCCTTGATGCAAAGCGTTCAGAATGCTTGGGTATCATTTTTATCAACATTAAATGCGCTTATTCATGCTCTATTTCATTCAACAACTTGCTTCATGTTAACAGGAGATCGTTGTGATGAATAAGTACTAGCTGTTAATTTTAAGATACTTAAATACAAATTAAAACTACAAAGTTAGAGATTTTAAATAGTCTATTTTCATTGGATTACAGAATGAAAATCATGCCATACTCCACAGGCTTTGTATGGCTTATGACAGTCATAAGCTTCATATGCCAAAACCATATGAAAGCTTACCTTAGATGATAATATACATTCAAAAATCCTTACTGTGCTACAACTAAGGGAAAGAGAGAGAAAGAAAGAGAGAGAGAGAAGTTGTAAGCATTAATAAAGTGCTAAAACCAAAGTTGAGTACTTGTTGGATGAAATTATAGTCATGATTATGATGAGGTGATTTCATTAATCCTTAGTCATGTGAAAGACGTAGGAAAATAGAAGCATATGGAGTGAAGGCCAGGGATCCAGTCACTTCAAAGAATAATTAATATGTAAAATATTTATTAATATGCACAACAGCTTTGCCTGATCAGGTGGCAAAGCCAATTTGATTGAACAGTGAATATTTATAGTAAGAGCTTCCAAACCATTAGCTTAAAAAAAAAAACCCTACAACATATATATATTGTGTTTTTCAACAAAAGAAAAACAGAGACAAGAGACAAAGCATTAGTGTACATATATATATGTTGAAATTCTAAAAGGCAAAATTATCAAGTAGATATAAATACTAAACTAGCATATTCTATAATATTGTATTCTGAACTGATTATATATGACTGATCTAAATAAACACAAGGCCTAAACAAACTTAGGGTAGAAAGCTACTCTATGTATAATCTACAAAACTTTAAAGAGAGAGCCTTAATTCTGTCATTTTTGCAAGTTGACATTATGTCTGGGAATTGTAAACTCAGGCATAGATTTATATCACTAGAGTTTACATCAGGTTGCTTACCCAGTCCCAAAGAACTTCTTAATTCATTATTCCAAATGGGGGTGAATTATACTTGTAGAATAGGACTCATTTATTATTTAATACATTTAGTAATAGGACCTGAAATTTTCTTTCAAGTTCATAAATATATGAAATAATTTTAGTCCCATGAAAATATCCAAAATGTCCAACAGATAGATGAGTCACAGATATTCTACTGGTAAATTTTTCATTCAAAATCTTAAATATAAAAGTTTCCAAATATTGGATCCAAATATTCCAAATATTTTATTTGTATCCTCATTCCATCAAAAATGCCCAGAATATTTTTTCTACAACTTAGCAACTTAAAAATGCTCAGTCTTCTGGATTTTAACATGAATCTAAGGAAACTACAGCAGAAATTATCTCAAAGGAAGATCATATTTCTCTACATTTGAAAAATGAAGATATTAAAGATATGTCATTGATTCCCAAGTTTTGGTAATCTGATGTCTCCAATGAGCTCATCTTCAAATATAGTTCTTTGGCTTTTTTTAGGGACGTGTGGTATGGTACTTAGCTTTCTGACAAGACATAGTGCCTACATTAATTAATATCCTTGAATAATTTGGCCTTCATGTTCATGGCATAAACACTGTATGCCATGAGCTGCTAAGAGATACAATGAAAAGCAAATGAGAAAGTCAAGCTTTACATGCAAAGTGCGATTTCATGTAAGAGGAATGGAACAGAAAGTAGAAATATCCAGTGGGATATGAACTTTTAAAACCTGTTGCTGCCCCTCCAGGAAGATTGGTTGTCCAGGGGTATCTACTCCTTGATATATCACTGTAGGATTAGAATATTTGTACCAGTATTTATTTATTCTTAAGTTGACATTCTTACCTTTTTGTTTTTTTTTCACAGCTTAACTTGATTCAAGTCACCTATTATCAGATAACAATCTGATGACAAACAATCTTGGCTTTACTCTTAGGACTAAAAATTTTCACCAATATATCACAGTTGATTCCTTATTATGAACTCATGTACTAGAATACATTCTTTGTATCATTAAATTTAATTACTATACAATTTACTATATAATTACTATAAATGATACATCATCTATATGTATAGTATTATTTGCTTCTATAGAAGATCCCAAATGTTGAATCATTTATGAAATAATCATTTTACACCTTTAGCAACATTCTTTTATTTTCAAAACATGCAGAAGTAGTACTTTTTTTTGTTGTTTTTTGTTGGATTTTGAGACATAAGTACCAGCAATACTTTTGAAAAGCTAGGAGTTGAGAAACCAGATATATTTGCAACTCTTAACTTAGTCTGCATTTATAACTAATAAACAGATAAAATAATGCTTAAATTTGTAAACACTTTCTCAATAGTCACATTTGACACTTTCTAAGAATATTATTTTATATTTGAGAGAAAAAATCAAACAATTTATACTTATTCAGTTATCAATCTACTATACTGTATTTGAGAATGGAAAGAAATCATAGAAAGAATACTGTTTTTTTTAAGTTACGAAAGAAAATTTTTTAAAGTAGTATCTTTACTATATTTATACTAGGTTTAGGACTAAAACCTCTTTTTTTTTTTACATTAGTACCTTAAGTATTTACTGTGGTTTGTTTTTCTAAAACAGATATTTACAAGTTATCTTTTTGACTTTTGGATCATAATTTCTTCATTACAGAGAGGTAAAAAAAATAAAGATTTTGGTTATCACAGGAAAGCAATATAACATAATAAGAAAAAGAGAAAAGACATTAGGATCATGTCACCCATTATCTTATAACAGTGACTCTGACAGATGTAGTTTTCATGGTATTCCAAAGTACGATTTGATTGTCAAGAAAAAACTTCAGTATAAAAATTATACTCAATTACTATAAAAATTGATTAAGATGACAGGTTATTCTGAAACTATTCTACCACATAAATCCTCATATGTTTTCTTGGTTTACATTAGTTGTAACATTTCTAAAAGCTAGTATAAATGAAATGCATACCTATAAATGAAAACTTCCTAATGAGATTTTAAAAGCAACAATTATAATATAATAAGGATATGCTATATTCTCTATGTGCAATATTAAACGCTAAATTAACAAACTCACTCATATATATATATTAGAAGTTTCACAATATAGTTAGCTAATTAAAAATAGTATAAATTCCTTAATTGCAGATTCATTAGATGAGCTTTTGTACTAGGCTTTTTAAATTATACCATGAAAGTCCTATTCCCTTGACTTTACTCAGTCTCACCATGCTGCACACATACTAGCATTCCACTGAAATTAATATTTGTGTCATTAATGAGAATTACAAGAGGTGAGACTAAGTCTATTTAAATAAATCAGAGTGAATGCAGAATGTAATAATGTCTTCTCTCCCAGAATTCTCTCTCCCCTTCCTCTGCCACCCCTGAACACTTTAGCAAACAATTTGGATTTTGTAGTAAGGACAATAATTAAATGACTTTCTTTCATTTTAGTTAATACACAAGATCTTTGATGTCATACCTTTCACCTCCAGTTTGCATTCGATCTCCACTGTCCCAAGGTCATTGACAGCTTTGCAGCAGTAAATGCCTCCATCATAGGGGCTGGGTTTGCGAATCTCCAGAGTACAGACCCCTTGGTTGCTGAACATCCTGTATCTTGGGTCATCCACAATAGCAACTTTGTTTTTCATCCAGGTTATTTTGGGCTGAAGTTAAGATTGAAGAAAATAGGTCAAAATATATCGGTATTTAGCATAATAAATGATAGACCATTAAAGCCGGTGACCAAATTTTAAAGCATGGCTTAGAAAGAAAGTACATCTGAGAAGAATCCACATCTACTTGAGCACTGTTTCTCTCAAATTAAATTCTACGTAGTACTTGGCAAGAAAGCAAATGGGCAGGTCTAAAGCAAGCCAGCCTTGCTCAGAGGACAGATCTGGGGCTCTCTTCCCAAGCGGATTCAGACGCATTCCAATTTGATCTACACGTTCCTGAGGTCAACTCATCCTGGAGAGTGTATGTTGCTGGGCATTTTTCAGAGAATCCTCATAAGATGTCACAACCATCTGATTTTCCCCACTACCTTTTCCTGACATTCTTTTCTAATTCTGCTTATGCCTCCTCACCATTTCATCTCTCCTCAAACAGCTCTCTATTCATCATCCAGTGGAATCGGTCTACTTCAGGTAATGCAAGATCAGTAATGACCAGTCATCTAGGAAGCTGACTCTATTCTCCTTGGCCTCTGAATTACATTTGATTAGCCTTGACTCCCCTGCCTTTCCATATTGTCTTCTCCCTTTGGTAAATGTACACTCCCCATAGTCTCTCTTCTGCATCTTATATGCTTTTGCCTTGCTCAGACCCTAGAGACTTTCTGTTCTGTCTCCTTCATACCATCATCTTCCTCCTTCCTTCTTCCTCCTTTCGAATAGGAGCATTCACTGAGGCTTATGCCTAGGACTTTGGCTTTTTGCTTACTAGTCTCAATGATATTCTTTTCCTCGATGAATTTCCTTTCCTCGATGATATTCCTTTCTAGAGTTTCAGCTCCAAGAGGTGGAATATAGCACCCTCATGCTCAGGACTTCCAAACAATGAGTCACAGCTCTGGCCTTTCTCCTAAGCCCGGGTGACACTTTATTCTCCCTCCTGGTTATTCCTGCTTATACTGACATCACCTCCAACTAAACATGAATTCAGGATCTTCTTCTCATCCTCAGTGTACATTCTCCCTTGACTCTTCTATTCCTGCTCATGGTATATGCAGGAAAAATACCACTTTGCAATGCTTCCAAATTCTAGGGCACTTTTCCCACAGGGAAAAAATATCGGCAACATTCATTAATTCATTGCTTTTTTCAAATGCCAACAAGAAATCTTAAAACCTTTCTAAATCTCTTCAGTCGGATATGATTTTTTCCTTCTTAGGACTCTGTAGCCTTAGCACAGCACATTTTATATTCTGCCTTGAATTACAGTTTCATCATTATTTGCTTTAATCTATTTTAGAAAATTTGATGAATCAATATTATCACTGGATTTTTCAGGTGAAACAATATTACTACCATCTCCTACCTCTCAGCATTTTTAAAAAAGTGGATGTTTTGGTTTTTCCTTAATAGTCATCCTTTAGATAGTGAAGAAATATAAGCATTTAATAGTGGACCTAATTATCCACCAATACCACAATGCTGCACTCTCCTCCCTATCCCAGAAAAGGATGCAATAGCACAGTTTATATTATAATTTGCAATTATAATCTAACATTAAAAAAGGGAATTTGGGACTAATTCTTAAATTTAACTAATGTGATTTAAAAATGGTACCTTAGGGTTTCCTCTCACGCTGCAGTTCAGGGTGGCATTGTAACCAGCCACAGCATAGGTGTTAACCAAAGGCTGAGTAAACATAGGTGCTTCCGTGAAATCGAAATCTTCATACACTGGATTTTTGTAGATTTTACCTTAAAACCAAGAATTAAACAAATACAAATTGGCCTGAGAATATATTATTCTTGGCATACTTTATTCATGGTTAAAACTCCCCTGACCTTAGGAAAACATGTAAAAAAAACGTGGGTGAACTACACACGACATTCATTCTGAAAGGTTCAAATGGATAATCACACCTCAGACAGAAAGCCAGTATGATCATCTGAGACTGAAAGAACTACTGATAAAAATTTGATATCTGAGTATTTTGATCAACAGTGTATTTTAATGTGAAAGCAATGAGCAATGAGGACTTTAAGGAGAGTGGCTTATTAGGAAATGACATTCCTATCTCTGTTAATTTAGCCATCCAGATGCACAGCCTAGAAGTTGGAATGAATTGAAGTTTATATTTTTAAAAAACACAGTATTAAAAGGGGCACCTGGGTGGCTCAATCAGTTAAGTGTCTGACTCTTGATTTTGGCTCAGGTCATAATCTCAGTTTGTGAGATGGAGTCCAGCATTGAGCTCTGCGCTAACAGTATGGAGCCTGCCTGGGATGCTCTCTCTCCCTCTTCTCTGCCCACACCCTCTCAAAATAAATAAATAAACAGTTAAAAAATAAATACAAATAAAAATTTGTACTGGTAAAGAAAACATTTTACTCGAACATTTTTACAATTTAAGAATGTATGTTTATTGATTTCAGAATTCCCTTTTACCACATCTCTACATCCAGTCTTCTTGAGAACATCTAGTAATTGAAAACCGAGGTTTCCATATGTCCAGTTGTGATACTGTTATTTATAATAAGAAATACATTAAAACCTTGGTTTGCAAGCAAATTTCCTTCCAGAAACATGCTTGTAATCCAAATCATTTTGTATATCAAAGCAAATTTCAAGAACCATTGGCTCGGTTGTGATAATGTGACATTTGGTCTCATGTACTACCTGTATTGCAAGACATCACTCGTTAATCACATTAAAATTTATACAGCCCCTCTGGAAAACAGTGTGGAGGTTCCTCAGGAAACTAACAATAGAACTCCCCTATGACCCAGCAATAGCACTGCTAGGAATTTACCCAAGGGATACAGAAATGCTGATGCATAGAAGCACATGTACCCCAATGTTCATAGCAGCACATTAGAGAGTGCTGCTATGAACATGGAAAGAGCCTAATAAATAAATAAAACATGGAAATAAAACAAATAAAACATGGAAAGAGCCTAAGTGTCCATTAACGGACGAATGCAAGAAGATGTGGTTTATCTATACCATGGAATACTACACGGCAATGAGAAACAGTGAAATCTGGCCATGTGTAGCAACATGGATGGACCTTGAGGGTGTTATGCTGAGCGAAATAAGTCAGGCAGAGAAGGACAAATATCATATGTTTGCACGTATAGGAGGATTAGGAGGAACTTAACTGAGGAACAAGGGGGAGAAGAAGGGGGGAAATGGTGGGGGAAAGGGAGAGAGGCAAACCATGAGAGACTCTTGAATGCTGACAAAAACAGGACTGATGGATGTGGGGGGGCGGGGGGATAGGCATAGAGGAGGGCACTAGTGGGGATGAGCACTGGGTGTTATGTGGAAACTAATTAGACAATAAACTGTTTGTAAAAAAAAATAATAATAATAAAATAAATCAAAGTAGAAGTAAAAAAAAATTTATTAGAACTGTTCATGTCTTGCAGAACACTCGCCAAACAAGTTATTTGCAATCCAAGGTTTTACTGTAAATATTTGATCTTCTAGCCCCATTTCTGTCACAGAGCTCCTAAAATCCTTGAAATTTCCTAAGTAAGGAAAGTTATAAAGGGGTCTTTTGTTAGTGGGTTCAAACTTTCAGTCCCATCCCCAGACCTTCTGGAAGGGGAGATCAGTTCAATTATAGTAGTGAAGACTCTATAAAACAAACAAACAAACAACAGCCAAAGGAAACCCCTCACACCCCAAATACTGGAACTGAGTCCAGAACCCCCTTTTATGAGTCCACTGCTAACTCACCATCCTTGGCAATCACAGCGCTCTCCTTAGTCATCGTTGCATCCTCACTGAGGCCACACATGTTCTCAGCAAAGACCCGGAAATAATATTCATTTCCTATGACCAGTTCAGTAATGGTGGCATTGGTTCGGTGGTAATGCTCAATGACAGTGAACCATTCCTAAAAGAAAAAAAATTTTTTTTGAGAAAAATCATCTAAAAATACACAACTATTCCAACCGTTGATTAGAATAAATAGTGGGGATGTTTTATTAACTACTAGAAAAATAGCACTGATCTTCTATATTGGGAGTAATAACAATGTACATTTAATTTGTTTAACATTTTATAATAGACTTATACTTGATTATGTATAATTTAATCTTTTTAAAAATGTTTAATTTTTTGAGAGAGAGAATGTGAATCAGGAAGGGGCAGAGAGAGAGGGAAACAGAGAACCCTAAGCAGTTTCCACACTGTCAGCACAGAGCTTGATGAGGGACCTTGAACTCATGAACCGTGAGATCATGACCTGAGCTGATATCAAGAGTCAGATGTTTAACCGACTAAGCCACTTAGGCACCCCTATAGTTTAATCTTCATTTGCACATTAGATTCATATACCCTAGATATCAATTCCTACCTTTATATTTTCTTCATAAGTGTACAGTGTATGTCACCTATCTTTTGTATAACAATATCTAATTATAGAATTTTGGTGCAAATGGGGGTGCCTGGGTGGCTGAGTTAGTTAAGCACCCAGCTTAAGCTCAGGTCATGATCTCCTGATTTGTGAGTTCGGCCCCAAATCCAAATCAGTCAAAAGCCTTCTTTGGATTCTCTGTCCCCCTCTCTCTGCCCCTCCTTCACTCTTTCTCTCTCTCAAGGATACATTTTAAAAGCATTAAAAAAAAGAATTTTAGTGCAAACATCTATTCTCAGGAAGAGATGATGATAAATCACTAGAGAAAAAGTAATATCACCTGATAAGTCTGCGAATATTATTAAAGTAGGTTCTTCCAAGTCTTTGCTCAGATATTATTTCCTCCCTAACTGTTCACCCAACCACCGTTCTGTGTGGGTCATAGTCTATCACCTTAACCTGGCTAAGTTTTCTTTACAGCACTTGCTACCTTAAATTACATTATATATTTACTGTTTTACTTGTTTGCTCTATACCTCCTCCACTGAAATGAACACACCCTGCTGAGAAGAAAATACAGACTTCTCACCCCTGTATCTCCAGTGCCTATTATAATACCTGGCACATAGTAGGTACTATGCACAAAATAAATGTTTACTGACAACCTGAATGAATTAATGAATAAGAAGCTAGAACAAGTGATTTTCTTTTCAATTTTTCCTCACCATAACAAGAAATATAGTGGCCTCAAAGTTTATCTTACAACCAGTAGAGACCTACATTGCCCACATGTGTTTAGTACCACTAATTGAGAAAATACATTTTTAGATGTTTTTAAATTTTATTTTTATTTATTTTGAGAGAGAGAGAGTGTGCATGGGGGAGTGGCAGAGAGAAGGGGAGAGAGAGAGAATCCCAAGCATGCTCTGCCCTATCAGAGCTAGACTCAGGGTTGAACCCATGAGCCAAGAGATCATAACCTGAGCTGAAATCAAGATTTGGACACTTAATGAGCTACTCTGGTGCCCTGAGAAAATACAGTTTCTGATAAAAAGTTCATAAAGGAAAAAGATTTTTAGAATTTTAAGGGGCCATCATTATCTCTGTATTTTAGATTTTTTTTTAAATGTTTTATTTATTTCTAGGAGAGAGAGAGAGAGAGAGACAGCGTGAGCAGGGGAGGGTCAGAGAGAAAGGGAGTCACAGACTGAAACAGGCTCCAGACTCTGAGCTGGCAGTCAGCACAGAGCCCGATGCGGGGCTCGAACCCATGAACCGCAAGATCATGACCTAAGCGAAAGTCGGACGCCCAACCGACTAAGCCACCTAGGCGCCCCTAGATATATTTTTTAAGTAGGCTCCACGCCTAGAGCAAAGCCCAACACAGGTGGCAGATCTTACATCCTTGTGTTCAAGACCTGAGCTGAGATCAACTGTTGGACCCTTAACCGACTGAGCCTCCTAGGTGCCCCATATTTTGAATATTTTTAGGACACCAGACAAATATAGTTATGCCTGCCTTTATTCCCAGAGCACTTTATTCCAAAATGTATTCCAACACTGTTTTGTCATTTGGCTTTATGATGTCTTTCTCCTTGCCTAGATTGTGAATGCTCCTTTTTATTTCTTTTTTCTGATTCAGCAGTTAGAACAGTGCTCAACACATAGTAAATGAATAAATCAATGTGTTGGTATACATAATGAAAAAAATGTCTATGAAGTTATGGATGACAATAGGAATTTAAGTGAAGATTATCACCTGTAGCCACAGTGATGTGTGGTGATCTGGAATTTCACTGGGCAGAGGGAGTATCTTTTGATCTACAGGTATGTCCCTGCTGAAATGCAACAGAAACACAGGGGTGCAGGGGTTGGGGATCAGCCTCTGTCACCAGGTGGAACTCAGTCAGCAGTGGGAAAGTCCAGTTTCACCTGGACTTGACTGGTTATGTAAGAAGACAAATTCTGGCTATCTAAAAAGACAAGTTCTTACTGACATCTACTAGTGTGAATGCCTAAAGACTTCCTGTCAATATCATTATGATATTTCACTCTTCCTATGAGAATGAAGAGTGGCTGGATGCCATTGTATGTCCAAATATTCATTTATTAATTTATTCACATACAGGTAGGGGAGTAGTATGATGTAGTAGATGGATTCTGATGCAGGAACACCTAGACTTTAACATTTAAAATCTGGTGATCTTGAGCAAGTCATTTATCCTTTCTGAGCCTTAGTTTCTTCATCTATTAAATAGAGGTAATAATAATTTGTACTCCGACTGGGTTGTCTCTTGAACACACTAAGCTCCTTCCCTCTTCAGGAACTTTGCACATGCTGTTCTCTTTAGAATCTTTCTTTTCTAACTGGTCTCTTTCTATACATGTTATGCAACATTTATTTTACAAGGAGAAAGAGTTGCATGGATGTAAATCTGAGTCAGAATCCAGAGTGACTAAATATTTTTTGAACAAATGAAATTATTGAAGTCTATTAAGCATATGCCAGCTGCTTTATATAATTTTAGCCTCACGATAATCAAGCAAAGTAATATTCATGTCCTTAAGAGGACCTCATACCCTCCGCCCCTTTACTTCTGATGAAATGTGATTTTGCTGTTGCTGAACCAGAGAAAGCTAGACCTTACCATGCTCTTCTTATCAGCCTTCTGGATTGTGTACCCTGTGATGGCTGCATTTCCATCATCCTTTGGTGGTATCCACGATAGAGCAACATTCTCTCCCCAGACATCCTCAATCTTCACCAGTTGAGGTGGACCTGGACGATCTAGAAGATGAATTCATGGCATCATTGTGAGGTCATTTTCCCTCCCAGCATATGCAGTGGTCTCCCACCTTAAACAGCGGTTTTGCTTTCTGAGGTTCTGTTACCCCGGGCAGCTGAGATCCGGAAGCAGATGCTCCTCCTGATACAGTGTCCAAAAGTCAGTGGTAACCTAACACTACATCACAATGCCTGTATCATTCACCTCACTTCATGTCATCATCTAGGGATTTTATCATCTCACATCATCATCAGAAGAAGGGTGAAGACAGTACAGTGAGATATTTTGTGAGAGAGACATTAACTTTTATTACAGTACCTGGTTATCCTTGGTCCGTTTTATTGTTAGTTGTTAATCTCTTACTGTGCCTACTTTATAAATTGAACTTTATTATCATAGGTATGTATGTATAGGACAAAACAGCATACATAGGGCTTGGTACTACCCACAGTTTCAGACGTCTGGGAACGTGTCTGCATTGATAAACAGAGCTGCTATACTTCATTGCAGGAGGATATTTTTAAATGCCCTTCCTTCCCTACATTTCTACCCACATTTCTTTCACCATTCTTAAACTTGAGGGGATGCCCTCCAGCTAAGCTTATCTAGAAACTCTTGACTTTTATCTTCACAGAAAGACAAAGATTTTGAAAGGAAAATTTAAATGAAACTTCTTCAAACCTCATCAACCTTCCCTCTAATCGCAGGCTACTGGCAATGAATCACAAGGCTAGGTTACCTAATGGGAAATGTAAGCTGACCCTGGGCTCCAAATCTTAGAGCGCATCTGGGCCCAGCAGATCTGGAGTTTGGAGCAAGGAATGGGGGCCACAGCCTGTGAGTGGGTTCCTCTGTTGTACCCAAAAGGTGCCTTTAACAGGCATGAAGAAAACTTGTTTTATCTCTCTGCCAACGTTAAATTTGAAACTAATAAAATAACTAGAATAATAATCGTTACTATTTATTGAACACTTTGAGTGTGCAAGCAATGTCCTGGACACTTAGAACTACCTGTTAAAGTAATTACATGGCAAAGTAGAAAAGAAAAGTCCTTCTATGTGTTTCAGATGGCAGGTGCTCTTCCAGACCTGGGGACTTCCATTAGAATGGGGGATTCCATGGGGGTTCCCAATAGAATGGAGCCCAGCCAGGTACGAGGGTACAGGGAAGCCTCAACACTCCCCTCAACAAAACAAAAATCAAGAAGGGTTAGCCAGTAGGAAGAGAGTACTTAGCTTAAAGGGTACGAACTTTCAACCAACAGGAAGTTGCTCTTTTAGTGAGAAAGCTCCTCATTTCAGCAAATTTGCTGAAATATAATAATAAAAATGACGGGACTGGAAACAAGGCTTCTCTAGCTATGTTCTTAAATGTATTTATTTGCATTGCAAAAATTACAGAACAGTACAAATGAGAGGGGTTCATCTGTAAGAGATCTTCCCTCTATTCCCGTAACTCTGGACAGCGGTAAGAAGTACACTTTATTTATTTATTTATTTATTTATCTATCTATCTATTTATTTATTTGGACAGGAGAGTGAGTATCTAGCCTTGTAGGGTCAACCAATTTAGTGTTTAACTATTTAAGTACATCTTCCTTACATTTGATAAAAACTCTTCACTCTCCATTAAAACTGTATTTAGTAGAAAATTTTAGGTGCCGTGGGAAACATGTTAAACTATGGTTAAAATCTGCTATGTTTTTTATGCAGGAATTCAAAACAGGAAATAGTTTCATCATCAAGGAGTTAAGAAACAGAATAAGAGAGAACTGGATTATAAAGCAGTACAGATGGTTTGCACTAAAAAGTACATATATTAATTTTCTTTAACATATATGCCCAAGTCTCCAATGATTAGTCTTTCTAGTAAGAGAAAAAGTATTTTGAAATACTCCCAAATCTTACTAATGTATCTTTTAGTTTCAATTCTAAAAAAATAATTTTATGGAAAGCCAGTCCAGCAAAAATTCTTACTCTTGCCTTCATGACAAGGGCATTTAGTACAAATATTGCTTTGATAGAACATTCTTCCAAACCTACCAACAATCTGGATATCGATTGTAGCCGTTTCCACGAATTTTTCCACTTTGACTTGCAGATCGTATTTCCCAGAGTGGCTCCTCTCTGCTTTTCTGATAAATATGATTGTATCAGTCTCAGAGTTGCGAATGTTTATTTGATTCTTATCAATTTCTGCACCATCTTTCTTCCAAGTTAATTCTGGCCTTGGTTTTCCCTAAAAAGGAAGACGGGAGAAAGTAGAGGGGGAGGGAAAACAGATTGTCTCAAGATTTTTTTCAGCATTACAAAACATGACAGTTGCTGACCCCATTCTAGGCAAGGTTGGAGACGACCGTCTGGTGGTTGGCAACTATGGCAGAAACGGTAATACTTGCATTGCCTATTGACTGCATTCTGTGTGCAAGGCACTACATTAGGTACATGAGGTTTACTATTTCCTTTAATCTTCACATCAGGATTATAAATGTCATTATCCTCATTTTTTGGATAAAGGAATTAAGTGACTTGCTCAAGGTCTTGAGGCTTAAGTAAGGGCTGGAACAGGTCTTACAGCCGCGTCTGTAGCTCCAAAGCCTGTATAACACAGAACAATGGTTAAGAACGTGGATTCTGGGGCCCAGGAATCTGTATTTGGATGCTGACACTACCCCTTAATAGCTGTGTGACCTTGGGCAAGTTACTTAAACTCTCTTTCCCTCAACTTTCCAATCTATAAAATGAGAACAACGACTACCTATCTCACATGATGGTTATAAACATTGAAGTTCTTTTTATTATTTTTTAAATTTCCTTTTTAATGTTTATTTATTTTTGAGAGAGAGAGACACAGTGCGAACAGGGGAGAGGCAGAGGAAGGGAGAAACAAAATCTGAAGCAGGCTCCAGGCTCTGAGCTGTCAGCACAGAGCCCAATGTGGGGCTTGAACTCATGAACTGTGAGATCATGACCTGAGCCAAAGTTGGATGCTTAACTGACTGAGCCACCCATGTGCCCCAAGACTGAAGTTCTTAAAGCTTCTGCACACTACATACGTGCTTTAGTATTATCTAAATGTACGTGATATTATTTCACAGCACCATACCACTCATTTCAGACTTGTCTATGATTCTCTCCCTGCTCTTTCTGACTGCTGAAACTATTCTTTACCAGCAGGCTTTGAGGGATTAATTAAAGGACACGTGTTTCAGTTTATATTACAAAGGAACTTCCTAGTATTTCCAAAGACCCAGGCTCACCTTGCAGACAGGAACTAAAGATTAATTGAGTCAGGTAAGGCATAGCCTTCCTCTGGGTTCCTAACATGGCTTGTTGATAGGTTATGATAAGGAATGTGAGAGACCCACATCAAACCCCTGCCTACAGAGCTTGAAGAGTAATCGGGGTGCTTCGACTTGCACATGGGAAGTAGAGAACAGCAGTGTTAAAGATAAGAAAAAACAGTTCCAGGTCTCATTTCTGTAAATGTATTTACAGAATTTGCTTTAGCTATTGTGGGGAGGTGGGGGGAGAACCAAGAGTTTTCTGATAACATATGCAGTGAAAAAAAAAAGCACTGGAGTAAGCGTCCACAGACAGACCCTGCTCCTGGTAGTGCCATTTACTTGTATGGCCTTGGGTAAGTCACTTAACTTCTCTGACCATCAGTTTCTTCTCTTGTCAAGTAGCGGTAAGGAAGTCTGCCTTCCTGCCTCACCAGGAGTTTCTTAGGATCAAATGAGATGTTCATGAGAACTCTCATGGTTCTGCAAACAGATAAACATGGCACAATAGTCTCTCCGTCCTCTCCCTGGCAGCTGAGCAGCCCCTGGGATGCCACACCTGTGAAGTCCCCATTCTCATGGTCTTTCCTACCCCCGGACACAGTGTCAGAAGCTGGACACACAGACTCCCAAGATGTGGGAACTGGGATTAGTGCGAGAAGTTGACATGGTGCAAAACTGGAGATTCTGCACCCCAGATTCAGCAGCCCCAGACCAGCCTGTGTGCCTGCCTAGTGCCAACTCCTGGTTTTATCTGAGGCTGTGTGGGGAGAGAAGTGAGGGGAACCTTGCCAAGCCACCTCTTTCCTCCCCTGCCCTGTTTACACTCATGTCTTCCTTGGCTTTTGTTCTGATTTCACACACTTTATGTAGAAGGTAATCACCTCTTCAAGCTGCAGGCCTTGGGTGCAATGAGGGCTGGCATTGGCTGTCCTTTAGCTCGTTTGTCATGGGAGGCTGGGTCTGAATGAGCGGTGTGTGTATGTTCAAATGTGTGCAGAGACCTAAATTCTAATTCCATACTGTCTGATGTAATAGACACAAGGCTATTTAAACTAAAACAAATTAAAATTAAGGAAAATTAAAAATTAATCTTCCCAGTTGCACTAGCTCCAAGTTTCACATTTCAAGTGTTCAACGGCCATATTTGGCTGGTGGCTACCATATTGGACATTGAACCTATAAAACATTTCCACCATCACAGAATGTTCTATTGAATAGTGCTGTCTAGGGGCCTAAAAGGAATCAGACAAGTAATAGAGTGGTGGTACAGTGTGTGTGTGTGTGTGTGTGTGTGTGTGTGTGTGTGTGTGTGTGAGACCAAACTGATTATTATAGGTGAGGCATGGGAAGTAAGCACATGTTGTTTTCCTGAATATTACACTGAGAGCTTCACTTAAAATGAAGACCAGTTTTACAGATATACAGGGCCAGAAAGAATCTTCAAGCCTTTCTTGTTTTGGTATCTCCTTGGTGTTTTCTCTCGACCCCACTGGAGTCCCTGGCTTCAGACAAGTCCAAGCTGGGTGTCATTTGTCTCATGCAGAAAGAAAAATCTATCAGTTTGATAGATTTCTCAATGAGCATGAGATTGTTTAATCACTCCCCAGATCTCTTGCATTGTTTATCTACTTCGTCTCGGAAGAAATCCTGGATCATGATTAATTTAAGTGCTAGAGTCTGTCTTTACTTAAACACGCCAGCATCGGAGAGAGAAAATAAGCACCCTGAATTATTACCTGGAAAGGTATAACCAGATTGACGGCTTCTCCAACTCTGCGGATATAGGTTTGCTTCAGGTGCCTTGGGATGCGAATCTTTGGCTGCTCTGAGTGAGGGCAGAACAAATAATTTTGTGATCAGTAGAGTACACTGGAAATAGCCTTACATAAACATGCTGGCCTGAGAGTCACTGGGATATCCTTGTGCTGTCGTCTCTACAGTAAAATCTTAGATGTGCCATTAACAGATTATGTATGGTAACTTTAGTTTCAAATGCTTTTTTCAAGCAGAGATATTTTCACAGTTTGACTCAACAAAATTTATCCCTGACCTCCTTGATTTTATGACAACTTCCTGTTTTTACAGTTATTATAAGTCTAAAGCAATTTTATAGAAAATACCAAGTTTTCTCTTAGGACTTTGTATATATTTTTCAGTTTCTAACAGCAAGTATATTCTCCAATGAACATTCCACAAAAGATCTATAGGCACCACATTAGCTGATAAGAATGCCCATTCTTTCTCACCAAAAACAAAACAAAACAAAAAAGTTTTAGTACCTAGCATTTGTTATTTAGGTAGTTCTGTTGGAATTGTATAGCAACTTTCTCCTCATGTGGCTATAAGTTACCTAAAAGGTAGCCCTAGCCCACTATGTATTAATGTTCATTAATTAAACACCATAAAGATACTAGAGTCAAAGTCTCGTAGGCTCACAGGGATAAAACATGTGTCATCACTTGAGGGCTTAGTATTTGGCAGACACTGGGCTAAATACTTTTGATGAAGGGATTAATTTAAACCTCAAGGCCACCTTGTAAGATAGATACTGTTTTACTTTGTGATTAAAAAAAAAAACAAACAGGCACATAGGAGGTTGAGTAATGTGCCCTTGGTGACACAGCCAGGATTAGAACTTGGAGTCAGCCTTCAGATGCCTGGGTGGCTCAGTCCGTTAAGCATCTGACTCTTGATTTCATCTCAGGTCATGGTCTCATGGTTCGAGAGTTTTAGCTCTGCATCAAGTGAGCTCAAGCCCTGCTTCAGGCGAACATGAACCCTGCTTTGGGTGAGCCATGCTTCTCTGTCTCTCTCTGTGCTCCTCATGGGATTCTTTCTCTCTTTCTCTCTCTGCCTCTTGCTCACTTGTGCCCTCTCTCTCTCAAAAAGAAAGGAAGGAAGGAAGGAAGGAAGGAAGGAAGGAAGGAAGGAAGGAAGGAAGGAAGGAAGGAAGGAAGGAAAAAGAAAGAAAGAAAAAACAAAAAACAAAACCCTGGAGTTAGCCTTGAGTGCCTATGCTCTACTTAGAGGCATGGACTTCAGAGTCAGAGATCCAAGTTTGAGTCCTGGATCTGATATACAGTAGTTCTGTTTTCAGACTCCTGTTCCATAAAATCAGGATGATGAAAACACCTAATTTGCACAATTGTTGTGAGGATTAATGGTTGAGAATAGTAAGTGTTCAATAAACTTTAGGAGGTGATGATGATGATGATGATGATGATTACTGATTGTTGGGATTAGAAGAGAAGTTGAAGATCTCATAATTCCCTAACTTTACATATAAGGAAAAGGAGACTCAGCCAGATTCTGTAGTAAACTAAACCATCACGATAATAAAAACTAACACATATTGAGAGCTTATGTGGCAAACACTCTGTGAAGTAGCAACAGGAATCAGTATATTTAATTCTGATAGCCTCTTGATGTGTCAAGTACGATTATTTAAAAAAAGTTTTTTAATGTTTATTTATTTTTGAGAGAGAGAGACAGAGTGTGAGCAGGAGAAGGGCAGAGAGAGAGGGAGACACAGAATGTGAAGCAGGCTCCAGGCTGACACTGGGCTCGAACTCACAAACTGTGAGATCATGATCTGAGCCGAAGTCAGACATTTAATTGACAGAGCCACCCAGGTGCCCTTATCAAGTACTATTATTATCTTTGTTTTGGAGATGAAAAAATTAAGGCTCAGGAAGATCATGTCTCTTATCTGAGATCACATAGCTAATAAATGATAGAAACAGGATTCAACTTAAATAGATTGGCTTCAGAATCTATTAAGAAAATGTGCACTCTTCATGCTTTCCTGTATCCATCCATCCATCCATCCGTCTGTCCTGTAACTCACTCCCAATTGTCTGTGGCAGACATGGTCTGGAACTCAAATATCCAGGCCCCCGGTCCAATGTTCTTTCTCCTGGAACAGCAACTCTCAAATGTTTTGGTCTCAGTAGACTAATATACTCTTAAAAATTATCAAGGACTCTTCCCCCAAAAGCAATTTCTCAGTTTCTGCTTATGTGGGCTTATCAATTTTTACTGTATTAGAAATTAAAACTGAACTTTTGAAATATCTAGTTATTAATTTAAAATAATAACATCAATAACATTTTAATGGCATTATTTTATATTCTAGCAAATCTATTTAATGTCTGACTTAACAGAGGATATCTGGAGTCTCCTATTTGTTTCTGCATTCAGTCTGTTGCAATGTGTCGTAATGTGTTATATTGGCTGAAGTCATTTAAATGAAGAAAATATGGCTTCTCACAGACAGGAGAAATATTTTAATAAACTTTTCAGACAATTATGGACATTCCTATTTGATTCTACACTAAAATATGATAAATTGTAATTTCTTAAAGGTGACCTGCAATGTGGATCTGAAGCCACTTCAATTAACTTTTCATACTCTGTTACGTTAAAATCCACTGGTCTATCTTAAATTTTTAATGTACATTTTACCCACGCATGTTTTTAATGGAAAATATTGCTTCACCAAATTACATAGATCTTCCAAATGTTGGCATATTACCTTACTCAATATAAAAAATTACATTTATTAATATCTCCCTATTTCATGAGAAAAGTTTTTAAGTGTTCAGAGCTGTCAAGTCCATGGCAGTGGATGTAAGTTGCCCAAAATTCCAATTTTTGCTTGAAAGTTCCCATTTTTTTCACTGAAAGGCCAACAATAAAAACTCTAAGTTGCTTTCTTCAAAGTGACAGCTCATTACATTTGTTTTCTTAAAAATGCCTGCCAAGTAGTCATTTTTTCAAGTAAAACAGAATTTTGTGAGAAAAGTCACTAGTTCAGCCTCTTACTCAGTGGTACAAACGCTATTTCTACAGACAACCACTGTGCTATAGTATGCAGCATGAGGTCTTTACACATACTTTGCATCTCACTGCCACGTAGAGGTAGGAAAAATGTGTACTCAAGGACCAAGGTTTAATAAAATGAATAATTTTTATCTTCAGCAAGAACATGCCAAGGCAAAGTTGGCCCTTTGATTTTAACTACGAGCACAAGGTGATGAGGAAGACAGGAAGAACTAGTCTGGTTCGGTGGCACTGACTTGACCCATGCTGAAGCACCTGCATTTTTACTTGCAATTACTTTTGTACCATCAGAACAGATGTCGAATGCTGAAAAGGGCAAATAATGCATCCATCTCATCATGAAGATGGTTCTTCATGACTGATCGGAGCCACGTTGCTGCTGTTGGCACCACGGCATGCATGCTGCCTCTCTTCAGGGGGAGCAGGCAGCCCGGTCAGAGCCAGCTCAGAGCCCAGGGAGGTTAACTAGCTGGTCCTCATACGGAGTTACAGACCCTGAGCTGACCTCCACACTGGTGAAAAAGAGCCATTTTGTTCATGTCTAACTCCCAGGGGGTATTAACAATATATCAAAAGAATGACAGCAAAATAGGAAGTTTGAGAGAGAAAGGGGTTAAAAAGTAAAATCAAATAATGTGAAAGCCTTGCCACTTACCAATGATTTCCTTCACCAGGATGGGCTGGGAGTAGTATTTGGGCTCGCTGGCCCCCGCGGCGTTCACAGCCTTCACACGGACAAAGATCCTTGCATCTGTAGGCAGACCTGTGATGGTGAACTTGGTCTTTTCGATCAGTTCTGTGTTTGCCACTATCCAATTGTCAGCTAAAATCCATAAAAGAAAAGGAGAAGAAGAAAAAATGGTGTTTAGTGAAAAAAAAATCCTAATTGGTACAGTCGACTCCAAACTGGTATTTTACTCATAATTAAATCAGTTGGAGGAAATTGACTTTGGTCTGGACTCACACTACATGGGTAGGCATTTTTCATATTTAAATGAAAAATGGCCTAGAATGGCTAATGCAAATAATGGGAAGAAGGATAATCAGATTCTGCTGTTTCTGAAAAACCTCTTATTCAGGCTACTATGATACTAGAGTATCCTGAATTCTTGGGGACAGTTACTATGATTCTGGATACTGAAGTGATACTAGAATATCCTGAATCATGGTAACTGTCCCCAAGAATTTTGTAGCAGTTTTGTTCCAATTCAGTTTCATAAGGATTGACATAATCATGACATTGAGCCATCTACATACGTTAAAGTTCAGAAGAACAGGAGAACACTATTCTTATGAAAGAGAGACCCAAACCTTTATAGTCATATAATCTCTCTGTTTAATTTGGCTGTTTTTTTTCTTATGAGGCACTCATATGTGCATAGGGAGGCTGATCATGTTCCCATTTACGAATATAAGAAGCTAATATCCATGGCAGAGAGGAAACAGCTCCGGAGACAAGGCCTCATAAGGAATTGGCATAATTCTTTCACTTCAATAAAAAATGATGATATTTTTAAAAGGTTTTGGTAGCTTTGTCTATAACGTCAAGAGAATGTAAACCTAGCATTCAGGGGTTGCAAATATTTCAACTTCTAAAAGTTTGTATGCATTATGCCCATGGGGTGTGTGGGGCGGGGGGGAAGGCTTGGGTCCCACATTATTAGTTCCCTGTCTGCCCACCCCCCTGATCTCTAAGGACTTTTTCATGTGTGGGTGGTAGGTGTACTTCATGCTTGGCCATGGAACATTCCCAGAAACTGTATCATATAGTAAGAAAGTTTGAAAGCTTTCATAGAATACTTTACCTGGTAGGTCATATGCAGCCTCCCCATTTTCATCAGACTGTTTTGCTGATGTACCTTTGAGAATCCGTCATTAAAATTAATTAAAGACACCCACTTTCACACCAGAAGAATATCGTATGAGTAGTCAGCATTCTCTGTTAGTAAAGTATGCAAAGTATGCAAAGATATTTGTCTTCAGAGCAGTGACGGAAGAGACCAAACACATTGGGGTGGGGTGGGGGAGTTCCTCAGGAGAGCCACAGTCTGCTCTGTTCAGACTGTGGTTTTGTCCTGAGGCATCTGCCACAGAGAAGAAGAGCAGAAAAGAGGCTGGGCGCCTCTAGCTGTGCGAACAAGAGGTAGAGAGGAACAAAGCAAGACCCTGAAGAGAAAGGAGGAGCGGGTCCTGGACTCCACAGGGGAGAAGCACACAGTAGAACAGTCTATCTTGTCATCTGTCCCTGTGACCACAGCCAAGGGTCCTCCCAGGTACCCAGAGAACACAGTGCTCCTGCTATGGGGTTCAAGCATCACAGTCTGGGACTGAGGGCACTGAGAATAAAGTCAGCCCTGTCTTCCCAGCAGCTCAGGAGGCAGCCTCTGGTTGCCATGACAACGAGCTCGGCAGTCAAGAAAACAAATTCAGCCTGCCTGGGTCCCTGAGTTCCACATGACTGGAGGGAATGTTGCTGGCTCCTGGGGTGGTCCTGGGTATACCCCGCTGGTTTGGGATGATGCCTTTCCAGTTATCGGGGGAGAGGAGTAGGGGAGTGGAACCCCTCGGAACCTTCTCTCTCTTACCCATCCCTTCTAGGAGTATCTGGGAGGAGCAGGGAGCCAAAATATCCTGGTGGCTGCAAGGGCATGTGGATGATAAAAATTACTTAAGGACACTAAAAAAGAGATATATCTTTAAGCCAATGGTCAGATTGGGAGCCACTGTGCTGATGTTATCATAGTGAAGAGACGGTTGATGAGAAAACGAAAATAGGAGACAGAAAACTTTCTTGAAATAGTGAAGAACTAGTAAAGGAGAGATTTCAAGAGAAGACAGGACAAAACAAGATCAGAGGGGAACAAAAATAGCCCATCCCTTCACATCTGAACCACTTTAATTGAGGAAAACAGAGAAAGAAAATGGTATCCAGGGGATGGGGACAGAATACGAAAGTTATTTGATACATGAGGAGAATTTTTAAGAAAGAAAAGAAAGAGCTAGAGTGAAGGAGGAAAACAAAGAAGAGTAATGTGCTGCAGGCATTAAAAAAAAAAGAGAGAGAGAAAGGCATAGTCAAAACCAACACACGATCTTATAAAAGAAAGAATTCTCTTACAGAATAAAACCTGACATATCTAAAGCATTAAACACTACAGAAAATTAGTCTGGAGGACAAGAGCCATTAAAAAGAATGAAGAATAGGGCAGCCACATAAAGAAAGAAAAGACTGCAAGAAGAAAGATATACACGTTATAAAAGAACTTCCATACAAAGCTAATTCCAAAACGTTATGTGGCAAAATATATACATAATAATGACTGTGTACATATACATATGTATATACCCGTATACATATGTATCTACACAGATCACACACAAAATTATGTAAAATACACTTCGTTGTATTTTATCTAAGGTGGGTAACATCAAAATGACAGCCATCTATCATTTTGCTGTATCTTCTTACTTTTTAAACCTATCAGAAAGAAAAGAGTAAAGAATTTGCTCTGTTTCATACAAACACAACTGTTCGTGCTCAGCAGCCACACCACATGTAAGATGGGGAGATTTTGCTGGAGGGGTGATATAAATAACAGAGTGGAGTACTCATGAGTTTTTGAAATGGGGGGAGGAACAGAATGGGAATCAACCATATTCTGAAGTGCTCAAGAATTTACCTTTTTGCATTAGAGACACCACCCCCCTCCCGTGCTGGGATGCCTGGAAACCTTCTCATAATGTCCCCACTAGTTTTGGTTCGTGGCTTTCTATGCCCTGGAGAAATGAAGCAGAGCGCTCTGGGAGCAGAGCATATGTCAATGGAACGGTTACCAGGATGCCTTGCCCCCTTTCCTCTTGTTCCCTCCCAACCAGCACCAACGGTGGCTTCCAGGGTTGCCCCAATCCAGGGGCCTGGGACTTCCTTTTCCACAGTTTTCTCTTCATAGGAAGTTTCTTCTCCACAGAGGTTTTCCTCCGGGGTGGGTGCCTTGGTAGTCACATTCCTGATTTCCCAAGTGTGCTCTGTAGTCTCTCTTTCCTTCAGGTAAGATCCACATTAAAGTTTGGAGTCCAGAGAGTTTTCTCAGCGGCTAAATCTTGGCCTATCATTTGTGGAGATATGTACAGGCTTCCCCGGTGGGGTGTTTACCTGCCTCATCTGGAGTGGAGCCTGAGTTCAAACTGGGGCAGTTTTATTCATTGATTTTCAAATCATGACAAGCAGGATACCAAAACCACAAGAGGCTTTCAGTGAATTTCACACCATTTTTGGTTTGAGGTACACTCTGGCCCATATTTTCTTGTGTCATTTTCTCTTTGTCTATTATTTCTGTCAAGTTTTTTTTTTTGCCTGTTTCTCTTCTCTTACTAAATTTCAGTGATTAAATTTTTATATACTGAGACGAGTTCCTGTCATATGTCAAACCTATTGCTTATACCCTCTGAGATTTAATGCTGTTTCCTTTAAACACTGAAAGTTGTCCTTAATTCTTCTTCTCTTTTTTCTTTAGGAAGATAGGGGGTGATCACCAGCTAGCCGAATATATAGTCTCTCTTTATTACCCAGAAATAAGCAGCTTTTGTGATAGCTGACCTCTGCTCTGTACAGGGTTTAGAATGTTCAACTTGCTTCATCCTAACTAGACTTTTATTTTGCTTGGTGCAGTTTAATTCCACCAATTCAAGAAGTGGAAATCCTTGAAGTTTTGTGAGAATCTCCTCTTCCTACGTCTTAGACTTACCATGTTGTCTGATCTGGCAGCCTATCTAGGATATTTCTGAGGTCTCCATTTGTTAGCATCACGTACCAAAGAAGGGCTAAATTTTTATCCACCTTAGAAGGAAGACTTTTGCTTGTTGTCATTTTCAGTAGGAAGGAGAAGAGTTCCCAAGAAAGATAACAAAAGAAGGGGGGGAGTATCTCACCTATTGATGATGGTATTCATTTTAACTACCAGTTGTACTTACTTCCTTCAAAGCAATACTCTAGCACATAGCCATCTAAACCTGCTGCACCAATCTGGTCTGGGGGCCGCCACTTCATTGTGACAGTGGTGTCAGTTACTGAGTCAACGGTCAGAAGAGTAGGAGGGCTGGTTACAGCTTCAAAGATGAAAGAAAGAAAAGAAAGAAACAGAAGAAATTATTAACTATGGTATTAAAGCACAGGCTGTGATACAATGAAGTAGGATACAAATAAAAATATACACAGAGGCTCATGCCTTAATAAAATTCAGTGGAGACTCCTTGAGCATAAGCTGTGTGGAAGGCAAAGATCTGCTAGGTGTGGAAATTTTTAGAAATGCTGCCACACTTTCCCTCCAGGTTGGGAGGATGTTGAGAGAGGCTGGGAGGCCCAAGAAAGTTGAAAAAGCCAGAGTTTGAGATCTAATGATCCAGAGTAAATTTCTAATAATACTCTAATTTTAAAGTGGAAACTCTTATACTAAATCTTCTTTCTATTGAAAAAAAAAAGTAGTACTTCACTACCATAAAAGAGTGGAGACATCTTATCTTCTGTTTCTTTGCCTTTACTGAACTGACTTTGTTGGTTCAGTAGATAACATTAAGGTGTGATTGTAAAGCAAAGAGACTAGTTTTCAAGAGTGCTTTGTAGAAGTGGTCTCTGTTTTAGTTATATTGTTTATACCTAGGTCCTGGGTTATACCTTCAGAAGGACAAATGGGGAGTGATAATGTGTCAGTGGGCTCAGTTACATGTTTTCAGTGGGGAGCAGCAACCAGATCCACCTATATTTCTCACTGGAATTCTGGTAATAAATTCCAGGTCTACACTATGAAGACATTCAATTCTACCAAAGTTCTTTTTCAATTTCTTAGACAGAAAATTGCCCTTAACCACCTCCAACCTCCTGCTCATCCACCACTTAAAGAAGCCCCCAGGTCTGCTCCAGTTAGAGGTTGGAAGGGAGCAGTTACAAGTTAGGGCAATGATTTCCATGACAGAGATATCTCTCTCTTGACTCACCCAAAGGAACAAAAGGCTTGGAGGGCATACTGGGCTTGGAGATGCCAATGGCATTGACCGCAAAGATGCGGACCTCATAGGCCACACCTTCAATCATCTTCTTGGGCTCAAAAGTCGTTTCTTTGCAGAGATCAAAGTTTAGCCTCATCCATCTGGAGCTTTGTTTCTTTTTCCTCTCAATAAAGTATCCTGTAGGTGACACAAAATGGAAACTAAGGTTTTTCCATGGCTTCCAAAATTAAACTTCGTCAGATATTAGAATTCATAAAATCTCTAAGTAAAATAGTCAGGTATGTATATATTTTTGAGCCACCTTATTCCATGAGTTGTTTGAGGGAAATTCCAGGGAATACAAACATTAACATCATAGGACTAGAAAAAATTAAAATTGTACAGGAAGAGAAGAGAGAAAAATAAATCACAGCTATGTAGAACATAGAAATACCATTGTTATGACTGAGTAATAGATTTGGCTATGAGTCTAAACAATATAGGTAAGAAGAGGGAAAACTCACTTTTGTGAGTTTCAAGTAGAAAAAATTCTTGTTCCACAGGAAAGCAAATTCTTCTAGGCATTTATCTCTAAAAAAAATTTCTTCATAGACATAATTCTATGGAACTATTTACTAACCAGAACAATTTAAAGTTAGACTTACAGATATTACAAAACTAGATATTAAATGTAGATGTCAAACAAAAAAGAGAATAGGCAGTCAGATGATATTCATCAAAGTTATTTAGACTCAAATACTTATAGAGAATCCCAAAATATATTTCAATTTGAATGGATATTTAAAGTCATAGTAGAATAGGTTTCATTCTACATGCCATATTTTTTAATGTGCTCTGTACTAATAAGCATAAAGAGGACTCCATCTCCAATGGTGGTTCCACAGACTGACCAACATGCAGTTACCTAAGATTGGGGACCCTCCATCATAGACAGGAGGCTCCCAGTTCATGATGCACCAATCATCTCCCACATCTGTCACACTTGGTGCCACTGGAGGATCAGGGATGTCTGTAGCAAACAAAAAATGGAATAGATGAATAGAATAGAATAGAATAGAATAGAATAGAATAGAATAGAATAGAATAGAATAGAAAATGTAAAATAAAATACAATAAGAGTAAGTGAGAGCACAAGAAAAATGTTACCTGGAAAATCAGTTTTTTGTGATAATCATAGAATACTTTTTCATGTTTATTGAAATGCATGTAGTAACTAATTTGGGCAAAAAGTCATGCCCCATATGGGATAAGGGAAGGTGAGCCCAATAAATTTAAATATAATTATGTATTCAAGTCCTTTAAACTAGTGATACAACATTCAAGAACAAGTCCCATATGGAACTCAAGATACGTGTCCTTTACCTTGAAAATGGTATCCAAGAAATAACTGCATAAATATCAGATATGATTTTGTGTTGTGTTTTGTTTTTAACTACAAATTGAACTTCCAGTAGAACTGAATCAAGGACTTACTGTTGTAAATCAGTTGGAAGAATCAAATGTTAATTGGTAGAAATCCAAGTAAAAAATGGCAAGTTATCATATCTTGTTAACATAGTTGAGTGTTTGATAAAGTGACCTTAGTTTTTGGTCCATTTGAAATATGTTTCTTAAGGGAGAAATAAAGTGAGCTGAAGAGATCATGAGAGTTTGGACCACCAATAATTTGCTGGACTTATTTCACTTGCTTTCAGGCTTAGGAAAAATGCACTTCAGTGGACATCTAAGGACTAATGCAAATCTTACTCTTCTACAATGGTTGTGATATTGGAAATTGTTTAGCAATTGTTTCAGTGACTTTAGAAGGAACTGAAAGGGAATACGCCTTTGGAAAGCTAATGGCCAGCAACCTCAAGTGGCTAACCTTAGTTATGCATCCCTGCAATTGAACCTCTAGGCAAGAAAAAAGACTAAGAGAAGGGAAGGAAAAGGAAAAGGGAAGGGGAGGGGAAGGGGGCAGGGGAGGGGAGGGGAAGGGAAGGGAAGGGAAGGGAAGGGAAGGGAAGGGAAGGGAAGGACAGAAAAGAAAATGAATGGGAAAGGTAGAAAAAGAACAACAGTGATTTATAAAATATAGCTATATGTGTTTTATTTGTTGACTACCCAGAAGAGTTGAGAGAACCAAGAGCTGGCAAAGTCTACTCTGGATATGGACATGTCAATTTGATTCTAGAAGTTTGTTGATCCAGAAGGCTTACCCACAACTTTATCTTACTCTTTGTATTTTATTTTATTTTATTTTATTTTTTTTTACAAATAGTTTATTGTCAAATTAGTTTCTACATAACACTCAGTGCTCATCCCCAAAGTGCCCTCCTTCATGCCCATCCCCCCCTCCCCCCCACATCCATCAGTCCTCAGTTTTTGTCAGCATTCAAGAGTCTCTCATGGTTTGCCTCTCTCCCTTTCCCCCACCATTTCCGCCCTTCTTCTCCCCCTTGTTCCTCCGTCAAGTTCCTCCTAATCCTCCTATACGTGCAAACATATGGTATTTGTCCTTCTCTGCCTGACTTAT